TCTCTGTATGTGCACGCGTGTGTTTAAATCTTTAAATAAAGGTTTATTGTTACTTTTTGTGAAAAATGCTTGATGTTGTGAGGAGTTTCTAACTGCTGGAGCCCAAATACGTTCTTCCATTTTGGGAGAGGCTGTGCAATTGTCCTGTTTTCCCTTCCTTGTGAAGAAGGAAAGGATGGTGGCTGTGGGCAGCCAGGTGAGGTGGATTTATGTTTTGTCCTCAGTTACATCTTGGTTTGCACATTTGGAGTGCGATGTCTTTTTGCTGTCTTGTTTTTGTTCGTCTTTTTCTACTCTGCCAGAACTAATTTTGATAAATCTTTCAAAAATCAGGTATAAAAAAGGGCATAATTTCTGTTAGAGCGTGTGCTTGTTTTTAATTCTAGATTTAGAGTAGCATTAAGAAGTTGGTCTTCCAGTAGCAGCTGATGTTTGTGAGGGTTAAGAGATGGAAACCATCTTTTTCTACATTCACTGATTCCTGGCTGCATGATCTTGAAGAAGTCTTATTGCTGGCTGAACTTTTAAAATCTGCAATGGGTTACTTTGAAAGTATTACATCTGTAGAGGAGCAAGAACTGCAGTGCCTCGTTGTACGCACAGTATTTCCTTTCTGGTGCAAGCAGGCAATAGACGGGTGATTGCAATGCCAACAGGTGTCATCAGGAGTGTTGTTGGGTTAAAAATAGGAGATTTACCAAAAAATACACCTTTGTCACAGAGAACAGAATCCAGCAGTGCTTCTGTGGGTGCTTCCTGTCCTTATTGCTTGCAGAGAGTTCGTGTGGAGCCAGAAGATGACTCCGGCTGTGGTGCTGTGAGCTGTGATGAGCCGCTTTCTCTGAGGGGGAAGAGAGGGATGAACATTTGTGGGATGCCTTGGCAGCTGTCCCTGTTAAACCTGCTTCAAAAATGCCCTTTCTTAAGCATAACACTTAGGAATTATCTTGGGTACACGCTGCGCTGTGTGTCCACGTGAGCTCAAGCTGCCTTCTGCAGATGGGATGCTGCATCGGAGAAGAGAGAGGAAAACGGGATTTCTGGCAGAGTAGGAAGAACAAGGTTCTGGTTTCAGGCATCTCAGCACAGCTGAAGTGTCTGTGCCCTTCATGGTTCCTGAGCCTTGTGCCTTTATTCACCTTGGAGATACGCTAAACCCATACAGTTTTTAGGAAGCGTATTGCTGAACTTCTCTTTTGAGAATGTGATCAGTCTGTTTATTAACCTCTTTACGGTATTGTTAACCTGTTAAGGTGTATTTTCAGTTCTCCTCCTTTTGGCCAAGGCATAATGAGCCTATAATGACTCCATAACGAGCAGTGAAGTGAAAAGAGAGGCCTTGGTTGTGTGCACACCCAAATCTGCCCCAGGTTCCTAACAGGAGCATTATGCTTCACCAGCCTCAGCTCCAGTTCGTTCAGTCCTGGCTTACAAGCAAAGCTTTAAAGCAAGGTTTAGCTATGGAGCTACAAGCTGGGACTTCATTGTGTTTGGATTTGGAAGCAAATTCGCTGACTGTGTGCAGCAAAACCACCCTGCAAACCGAACAGGATGCCTTGTGGAGGGTGCGAAGATGGAAACCGCTCTGGATGCTTTCCAGAGCTTAGGAGAGATGTTGCTCTGGGTTGGCTGTGGGCTCCAGCCTGTGCGTCTGAGGAGAGAGCTCTCCCCAAACCCCCAGAACTTGGGGCACCACATGGTTGTGGTGATGGATAACTGATCCGGTGCCTCATCTGCCTCCCCTGCCAGCACCGGCTGCCAGCCTCAGCTTCTCCTCGTGACTCTGCTGCTCCGTTTTTTTCTGCAGAGACTTTTCATGGCTTTCCCCTCTACCTCTTTCAAAACTGATTCCTTTTCTGCCTCTCTGTTTTATCCTTTCTTCCGTGTTGACTGATTCTCCTTCCGCCTCTTGGAGTCCCTTGATAGGACATTGCTGCTCGTGCGTTTGCTCCGTAGGAGCCGCAAGACTTGCGTGGCTGTAGGGCGTTCCTTGGGCACACTGGGAGGCTGCTTTATCCCACGGCTCCTGCTGGCGGTGACTCTGGTAGTTACCATGTAAAACACCAGCCCAGGAGAGCGGTGGTCTGGCTCTGCCGGCCCCAAAGAGGTTTTCTCACCGCTGGTAGTGAGGGAGGTCGCAACACTTTGCAGAATGGGGGCTGCGCTCCCAGCACGGGCAGGGGGTCCTGCAGTTGTGGATGATGGAGCTGTGGCAAGGAGGGCTCCTCTGTGTCTGATGGCTCCGCTCCCACCTTGGTTGTCCCACGGCTCATGAATTTCCACTCCTCGGAGGCTTTTTTCCTGGACCCACCATCACCAGTCAGCTGTGGGCAAGGAGCTGCCGCAGCAAGGGCTCCTGCAAAGTCTTTCTGCTGCTCCTGCCCCTTGGAGAAAGGTGATGGAAGGAGGTGGTGCTCAGTTTGTGCAAGCTGCCTCTCTCAAGTAGCTGGTGTAGCTTCAGGACCTGTGTTTCCTCCATCACTGCCTGGTGTTGGATGCTGTCCACGCTCACCACAGGTGGAGTGCTCAGCTCCTTGCGATCACTGGGAAATTGTGCACACGGGAGTGGAAACGTCGCATCGGTGTTTGAGGCTGTCGGGTGATGGTGGCAGGAGCGTGCGCTGGCGCACTGTGCTTGTGGGTGGACAGGTGAGAGGCCAGTGTGGCGAGGTGCTTGCAGAAGGGGACAGCTGTCCTGGGGAAAGCTTTAAACCATGCATGGGGCCAAACTTGGGCTAGCCAGAAGCTCCCCCCGTGCTGGCTGCTGTGGAGAGCAGAGGATGGGCTGTTTCGTCTGCAGACATGCTCCTGTTGTGCCATGGGTCTTGCTTGGGAGGACAGCGGCAGAGGAGAGCGGGATATGGGACTGTTTGGCGTAGCTGATGTGTCAGAGTTGTTCTGCAGCAAAAGGTTGAACAGCGGTCACAAGCTTTTTTGCTGCTCACTTAAAAATAATTGGAAAAAATCCTCCTGACGTTCCATTAAAGTGACCCTGTTTTGGAGGCTCGGGTAAGACGGAAGCAGCTGATGCTGTGTCAGCTACTGGCAATCTGCTGTGTAGCTCCTGAAAGCTGTGCTCCCAATTTCCCTTTGACTGGGTCTAGGGAAATCCCTGGGTAGGATTCATCTACATGGAGAAGGGTGGGTTTTTTTTCCCTCGGGGACCAGGTACAGCAGCAGCTGCTTGAAATCAAAGCTCGTGTGCCCTTGCAGTGCCCAGTTGCTGCTTTGCCTGATCTCTAAGGATGGAAACCTCTTTGGCCTGTTTCTGAGGGGAGAGCTGAGCAAGTTGAAGTGGCAAATTGAACCTCCGTCCCCGTAAAGACTCTTTACTGTGCGGGGTTTGCTTCTTGCTTCCCATATCCCTGGTTTTCCTGGCGGGTAGAGAGCTGCACAGCACAGCCCTGCATGGCTCCCTGCTACAGGGAATAATCTCCTGGTTTTACTGGGATTGAGTCGTAGAATTCAGTTTTCTCCTAGGATCCTGCCGGGCTTTTCAAGAGCGCTCATGGAAAATATCAGAGGGATTTTCTTAGAGAGAGCCACAAGATGGAGCAAAATGATGCCTGAAGCTCCTGGGTTTGACATCCCCCTCATTCTGTCTAAAAACATTAACAAGAAAAGCTGTTGGAGACCCACTACCAAGCTGGAAAAACCTGCTCCTGAACGTCAGGATGTCGTGGGAAACCATAATGCTGAGTTTCAAACTGCTGCTGTGCTTTTGAACTTCAATCGGAGAGGTCTGTGCCAAAATTAATGGCAGTCTGAGTGAACGTGAGAGTCTTTCCTGTCAGCGTATCTCAGCACGTTTTTGAACCAGCAGTAACTTTCCTGTTTTAAGATGAAAATCTATGTGCTGTTTTGTGCAGGGCTACCCAGTTTTCACTAAGAGTCTAACAGAAATCAGGTCCAGCGTCTCCATTTATCGATTTGTGGCTTCCCATGTTCCCCCAATCCACATTCGTGCTTGTTTTTGTGCATGGGGATATGCATGGTGTTTCCTGCAGCTGCGTTTTGTGTACTGTGGGCCACTCGTAGTCCACAAGCCATCAGTTAGGAAACACTGCTCTGGGTAAGCAGCTCACAGCCCTTGATTAAGTTGGCCTAATTACTGTCACGTCCTCCGGTCTGATGCCCTTGGAGTGTCACCTCCTGCCACTGGTCCCACTGGCTGCCCCACGTCTTCGTCAGAGCTGTGGGGCCGATGTTCAGCCCCTCAGGGACCGCAGGTTGCCTGTGCATGGCTGGACTTCACCTCACCAGTTGCTACCACCCCGCAGGGCTTTGGAAACTGGAAGTTGATGGTGATCCCACTACGTAGTAGAAAAAGCAGTTGTTATGTTATCAGGGTACAGAGTGCTGGGCTTCAGCAGGCTTGCAGTGAGGTGCTGATGCTGAAGGGTCTCACACAGTTTGGGAATTGTACCGGTTTCCTATACAAAGTGACGGTTGGTGGCTCCAAACTTGCTGTGTGCAGCTATGGCTGCTTTATTGCTGCTTTTTTTTAGTATTCGCAATTTCCAGGCCACACAGAGGCAGTCGGTTTGAATTCAAGGAACAGAAGCTTGTCAAATCTCTCTCGCTTCTGCTTCTCCACCTTTTTGTGTCATTTTTGGTTTGGTGTTGAGATGCTGCCAAGTCTGAACTGGTGCTGAGAGGTTGCAGGAACACAGCCCCTTTTCTCTGCAGGCTGTTGAGTTGGTACCTGCAGACGCCCCAGTGCCCAAGAGGAGAGAGCTTCTCGTGCTTTGTGCAAAGAGATTCTTTAATTCCGTCTCATGAAATAGCTGAATAATTTTGTCTAGAAAACTGTCTTGCATAAAGAAGTTAAATTATCAGCAGTGAAGTATTAGGCCTTCCCCATGTGTAGTTTACCTGGTAGAGCACGGCCAGAAGATTCCTCCCATGGTGTCCTTTCTCTCTCATGGTGTTCCCTTTTCTCTCAGGGCGTTTGCTGGTGGAGGCTCTGAGCTAGCCATGGCCACCCAATGCTGGCCGAAATGCTTGGGCTCACAGGTTGTGTTAACCTTCCTTGTGTTTTTGTTTCTGCAGAGCTGACCCTGAACCCACCGGAAGGGATCGTAGCAGGTGAGGAGCTGCGCGGGGTTTGTGCGCTGTGAAGCTGCAGCCTTGCGTCCAGGCAGGCGCTGAGCATTGTCCTGGTTTTGTTTTTGTTCTCAATAGGTCCCATGAATGAAGAGAACTTCTTTGAATGGGAAGCTCTGATTATGTGAGTTAATACTGCTTTGCATCCAAAATCAGCACTTACACACTGTGATTAGCTTCTAGGAGAACAAAAATGTGACAGTATTAATATAAGTTCTGCATAACTTTCACCTTGACCTGCCTTTGGCTGGGAACTTGTCTGACCCAAACAGGGAGTTATATTTGGAATTCAAACTGTGTGACAGAGGCAGCACTGGGGCTTAAGTGATCATTTGTTGTATGGGTATCATTATAATAAGCAACATTCAGCATGAGTAGCTTACAAATTGAGAGGAATCCTCATTTGGGCTCCCTCAGGTGTACGTTGCATACACAAACACTGTAGGAAACAGTGAACTGCTTGTGGATCACACAGACCTGTGGGGAACATTGCTCAACTACAAATACAGGGCAGGTTTTTGTCATGTTTTGAGTGGAACAAAATACGTAGATTATCAGCGATAAGAGAAAAAAAAATCAATGTCTAAAATTAGTTTACTTACTATTCATTTTTTTTCTAGAAAAATGGAAGGGGATTGATCTGAGAAAGTGTTCAAATTTAAAAAAAAAAAAGATTTTTAAATTCTTTATTCTTCATGGATCATCTGATGTAAAGACGTTAGGTGCAGTGGTTCTGTGTAGAAAGCTCTGATCGCTACCTGTTGTGTTCTGGGGGGTGACAAAGGCTTCTTTACAAAGCTGTGTCCTCTCTCTTCCACTCCCAAACTGATGGATGTGGTTGGTTGTAGCACAGCTCACCATGAAAAGACAAAATCTCGCCCAGCATCCTACAAGTTGTCTTCTTTCTTACTTGTACTCTCTTACCCACGCTGTGCTCTGCTTTGAGAGCCTTGAATACATGGAATAACTGGCGATTTTTTCAAAATAAAGTTCTAAAATGTTAGGGAAGAGGAGAAGAGATCTTTGTCACTCAGGGCTGACAATTTATGCAAATGCCACAGAACTAAAAGACGAAGCAGCTCCAAACCATTAAGTCTCTCTTGAAGTTGATGGTCTGTTTTTAGGGTGGGTCCAGGCTCTGTGTTTTAAGATTCCTTTAGTAAGAGTTGAAGATTTAATTTTGTTGGGCCGAGGGGTCCCAGAGGACACTGAGGGCAGCAGGCGGGGGCTGTGGCCCCTCTTGCAGCGTGCTCCTGGCAGTTCTGCACTGCAACCACCAGTGCTGACTTGGGAGATTCCCGACTCGTGTGGGTGGCAGAATTTCCCTGGCTTGGTTTGCTTGGAGTGTATTGTCTAGGGATGAAAAACCAAGATTTCTGTCTCCTGGGATAAGGCACACAACCAACATGAAAGCGTCCTGAGCTGTGGCGTCTCACCTGTTCCACACAAGCTGGCTGCGTGGGTGAGGCTACTTAATGGCAAACCTGAGCCTCAGAGTTATTTTAGGTGGTGGTAAATGGAGGTTTGAATTCCCACTGTGTATTTGCTGACTGATATGAAGAATTGGCAAATGCCTCTGCTTATGTGCAGCAATTTATCCTGTGTCGCTGTGCTTCCTGGTAGCTCGGTTCCCTCAGATAAACACTTTGTATGGAAATAGTTTGTTACCTGACACCAAAGATTTTGGCTGCACGTGGGATAGTGTCCTGATGTCGCTGGGACAGAATCATAGAACTGGTTTTCTCTTCAGGAAAGCTGCATTTCTGAGAATACTGCAGCACTCGATTTAGTGGGAACGAAGTTGATCAGACACTTTGGTTTAGTTTTTGGCCAGTGCGGGTATGCAGGTTGCCATAGTGATTGAGGTCTGTAGCATTTTGAGTTAATCAGGTTCAGAAGCTGGGGGGAGCGAAAACCAGGGCAGTGCATCCAAGCTGGCCAGCAGGGTTATTCCATACCAGAAATGTCACGCTCTCTATAGGGGAGAGTTTGCTGGGGATGACCTCTCTCTTTCCTCAGTGGTCGCCATCCCTGGAGGGTCTCCTCTATCGCTGTGCTCCCAAGGCCTGCTCCCCCTTTTGGTGTGACTGTCGCAGTCTTGGTGGAGCTGTGGCACTCACAGGTTTGTTATTTAGCAGTCACGGCTGGGAGCACACAGCTTGCAACTATTGTTTTGGCTGAGTGTAACTTTGTGTATTTTGTATTAATATTAGTTTCTTATTATTTTATTAAGTCTGTTTTCCTTTCAACCCAGAGGTCTCCTTTCCTTTTCCCAATTCCCCGGTTCGGGTGGGGAGGGGTCATTGGGTGCCAGAACAACTGCGTAAATGACAGCAGGGAGTTATGGCTCTCCTGACACCCGTCCTTTGGAACGTACCACAGTGCAGCTGTGCCGTGCTTGGAGCGTAGAAATCCCAGAGGATTTAATGCACTTCTTGGAATATGGAAGGAAATTCCTGCCGGTCGGTACTTCCTGGTAGCAGAGATTGAGTGGTTGAGTAGAGCTTTCCTGGGGGACACACACAGAAGTATTTCTGCATTTGATTCATTACCTAGAAAATACTTTTTTCTGATGTTTCTCCTATCAAACCCTTAAACAACAGAGGAGCTGCTTGCAGACTTGAAAGCCCTTTAAAGTGCTGAGTGTTGAGCTTCGGGTCTTTGTCAGCGCTAAATGAGAGGCGGAGGAGCTTTCATTTTGGTTTCTGTATTGTGTGTGTGTCATAATAAAATTATATTTTAAGATTTGCAAAATTCTGAAGCTGTGGTACAATAGAAACGTGTTTACCATAAACATGTTTGGTTACTTTCATCTCTTTACAGAATGCTATTAGTAGAAGTGTTTGCATACATTTGGAAAGCAAGCTAAATGGCTTATATTTTAGAATGTTTATATTTGTCTGTAATTATCTTCTCGAATGTTTTGTAATCTCAAATGTGCTGTGTGAGGTTCTGGGAATGCAAGAAGTGCAGATGAGATGAACGTAAAGCTGGTTTCAATTTTTTAGACAGATGAAGTGCAGAAGGTAAGTAACAAGTGTGAAAATGAAGAGAGCAGAAGACTTTTTTTTTTCCCCTGTCACCCAATTTCTGTAAAGCCAGAGCACAGGTAATGGCAAATAGTAATTAAAAAAAAAAGAGCCCTAAGAGAGAAAAGACATCACTCATTTATCAATTCAGAAGTGGGCTGGGTAATGTTACACAGATTGATGTAAGACCTTGGTGTGGAGATAAAATAAAGCCTTTAAAAAAACTGGTAATAATAATTTGTATTTCCGGTGTTCTTGCCTGCAGCAGCAGTGCTGGATAAATGTTAAATGATAGAAGAGTTCGTACGCTCCCCAAGTGAGTGTAATACACCCAGAACTGGAAACACACCGGGGTAATCTTCCTGAACAGTGGAGGCTTGGAGCCTGGTGTAAAATGCACCCCTTTGATAAGACATCAAACAGGAGCTGAATGAAAGTGCTTATGAAAGCCAGATCTTTGCAATAGGGTGACTTATGGTGATGATAAATAGCCCCAGCTTTTCAAGAGTTTCCCCTAATGCTGCTCAATTCCTTAGCGCTGCCTGAGGTCCCATAGGCTGCACTGTGTCCTGCGAGATCGTGCATTTGACATTTCAAGACCAAGGTTTGCCCTCTTTGGTTGGCACATACACACGTGTGCTGCTACTGAAGTTTATCCCCAAAAGACACAAACCCCCACAATTGTTAAAAACGTTGTTAGCTTGAAGATTGCTTGAAAACTGAACAGTGTAAGTTGAAGTCAGCTTATCAGGAACCTGTCCAGAAGGGTTATGAGATGGAGCGTTACGCTTGCGACTTTTGGTTAGCGTGGAATTCCCCTTTTCGGCATCTGCTGACTCCGGGTTTTGGTCTTTTTCCAGCATCTTTTTACAAATAAGCAGCCATTTACAGTTGGTGAAGCTGTGACTGAATGAACTGTCCTTGTCAGTGCGCTCTTCCCTCCCATTTTGGCTGATCCTCACCATCCTTCTCTTCCCCTTGCCTAAGCACTACCCAGCTCATGGCGTTCAGAGTTTCTTACTTTCCTGCTATGCCGTATGTTGACAGTGTTGTTTGTAACACCCCTTGCACAGTGTGATTGTCCAGAAAGTCATTTAACGCCATATAATGGCCAGAGGAGAAGTGAAGATGCTGCTTCCCAGTGCTTCGGGGCAGTCCGTGAATAGAGTCACATGTGGAAAAAGATGCAGAGACCACCGGCTTTTCAGGCTGTGAAGTGTCTTCAATGGAGCAGGTTTAGGACAAGATTTAGGGCAAGTTAAACGCCTCGGGCTTGTGCAGAATGAGCAGATTCTGTGTGTGCACGGTTAGCAGAAGGCACGGAGGTTTTGGATGTGGTGTAGGTTGTAATCTTAGCAGAGCAGGTGGGACGGCTGCAGAAGCTGCTGTGCCCTTCACCTCGCCGGCCCTGCCGATGTTCGTTTTGAACCAAAAGTGATGCTGTGAAGTTTAAATGTTGCAGCCCCCTCCTGAGGGTTTTGTAGCTGCAAATGCTCTCTTGGATTCACTTTAATAATTCCTTTGAAGTTGCTCCTGGCAGCAGAGAATGGCTAAAACAAAAGCATTTTGCTCACATAATGCAGGGCCTAAGATGGAGCGTGTTGGGTTAACGGATTTGACAGAAGAGCCCTTCAGGCTGCGTGTTTGCTCTCTAAACAGAAGACACCCACCAGCTTTTCAATGCGCGTATGTACATACTCTTAGAAGTTCAACAATAAGCCTTTAAAATGCAGCTGGAATTAAAACGTTCATGAAAAATGCATTCTGTTTACTCTCAGATGTGAATTGAATCCCGACTAAATTTAGGGAAAAGGCCAGAGAGGGAACAAAATAATCGAGATGGTTTAGCTTTCATTCTCGCAGTGTGTTTATGCATTTCTCTAATCCTACCCACCGGTGTCAATATTCAGGTTTAAATTGTGTAGTTCTTGTGTTTATCTACCAGCCGAGTCTTTTGAATCCCAAAGTTAAAGAGAGTGAACCTCCCAGGGTTTTAGCTTTTGCTGATCTCAGTTTTCTTTTTCTGTAGGTTACTGACTGCAGCCTTAACTGTTAGGAGTCCTTGAACTTTTAAGGTTTTTTCTAACATGGAGAATGTGGGTTGGGAGGAGGAGGTATGAATATATTCCCAAACTGTATTTCCCAGGCGGTATAGCCCTTATTTGAAGAGCTTTTTACTGCATACATGAGGTTTTCTTGGCTCAGGTTTTCAGTGATGAAGCTTGTTTCATGATCTCTCCAGTCAAGGGAGACCATGTTTGTGTTATAACTTCCAGATGGTCCATCAAGTTGGAGTAAATCATGTCTAATAAACTTTTTTTGCTCACCTTCCAAAAACACTTTATATAGGGAGGGTAAAATAGTTATCTTTACATTCTCAACTCGGTTGCACTTTGAACCAGGTGCCGAACACAATAAGGAAATGTTTCTACAGGAACCCTGATGAGGGAGTACAAACTGAATACCTTTAATTTGCAAGGAGCCTTTGTCATCCTGCATCGAGCAATTGTGGTCCCTGAGCTGTGTTTTTATTTTTACAAAGCATCGCTGTGTTTTTTTAGTGTGTTTATATGTGGTTATGCTTGGTACCAGCAGATTGAATCTCCCTGGTTTTTGTAAGTTATTTTTGAGCTATGGCATTTCACATCTCTGTCTTGTGCGGCACCGCAGCATCTTCAAAGGCACAGGCGTCCCACACCTGCCTCTGCTTTCTCCTGACGTGCAGACTCTTGAATCCCGGAACATGCCTTGGAGCCAGATACTCCAATTATACGCAGACACACCCTGCTAATTAAGCAGTGTTGTGACCTTCCTAGTAATTTAGTGTGCAAGCTTTGATTTCCCCCTTCCCTCCCAAACCCCATATTTGGATTTAAGTTGATGAGGTGGGGGGTAAGAGTGTATTAACTCTTTGTTTTCTGGAGAAGGTGGTATAACCCAAATCTGTGTCTCATTAGCCAGGAATTTGAGTGAAAGAACTGTTTAAAGCTCTGGTGAATAGGTTTTTATCTGTTTCTAGGGGTCCTGAAGACACCTGTTTCGAGTACGGCGTTTTCCCTGCTATTCTGAGCTTTCCACTCGACTACCCGTTGAGTCCTCCGAAGATGAGGTTCACGTGCGAGATGTTCCACCCGAACAGTGAGTCTGATGCGGCAGGACACGGCGGGGAGCGGGTTGCTTGGGGATCTTAAACCCAAACTTTTGCAGCAGGAGAACTGGCATCCTTACCGAGGGTGGCTCTCTCCCTTTCCAACCTTGAGTATGCGGTTGTTCAGCTGTATGGCAATTTTGCTCTGTCTTAGGGTCACTTTCTTGTTATCACATTATTCCTCAGATACCTTTTGATCATAAACAGCCCAATAAAGATTCCAACAGTTTCCCTGCCTTTAAGCTCATTCCAGGTATACTTGTAACTATTGTTTAAAAAATCTAAAGATAAATCTTCTGCACATGATGTGAGACCTAGTGGATTAATATAGACTCTTTCCAGTCTTGCTCTGTGGTTCATATTTAAGGAGTTTGGTGTTATTTTAACGAGTGAAAATTCATTCATATTCACCAAAATGTGGATGCAGCTTTATTAGGCAGCTTGGCTTTTTCCCCATCAAGTCACAGGTTTAGTAACATCTCTGATGTGATCTTTCTGGGATATACAAGTGCTGTGTCCAAGCAGATGACACATTTGCAGGCATTTAATATTGAATGTTACTGGCCTTTTCTCTGCAATTCTGATGGTGACAATATTGTCTTAAGACTTTTCAGTGAAAGTAATTGAAGTCACAGCACGTACAGCTACAGCTTTGAGCCTTGGACAGGTAAAAACCTTCAAGCCCCCTTTTACAGCCTGAAGCACTGCTTTCTGGACTCAGCCTTGACATTCTTTGTAAAATCGTTGTTTGTGACATCTGCTAAATCAATCAGTTGTGTAAAGATTGTTTATCATCACCCAAATTTGCTGGGCTGGATCTGTATTGTAGGCTGTTAGGTCTCTGCCACTTGAGAGCGATAAACGGAAAATGCTGCCCTCCTGCCCAGTTTCCTTCCAGCTGACATTCCTGAACTTGCATAACACAAATCTGAATCTCAGCTGGGAATTGACTTATTTCATCCTATTCCAAGGAATTCTGCAATTTCTTGAAGTTCTTCTGTTCTTCCCTTCTCAAAGTGCTGCTGCTGCAAATTCTTGCCCATTTAATCCACATCTTTCTGTTCTCCCATGGGAAACACCTGCACGTCACAGTGTAGAACCACATGGACATGCCCAAGGCAGTGTGGCATCACCTCCGAAGCTCTGATGTCTCTGCAGCATTTGCCACCTGGAAGCAGTGTGGCCGCACCAGCACCTTCTCCAGCTGGGCTAATTTACCCAAATGTCTTGGACTGGTCTCCGTGAGCAAATCTGTATCCGCTCTGCAGCTCCAGTTGTGATCTTGGCTTGAGGTTCACTGCTTGTGGCTGCTTTCTGTGCAACATAGCCAGGAGGAGTAGGGTGCAGAGAAGCACAAACTGCCTGAGTCTCGCATGTCAGGGGAGTGGAGCATCTCCCTTCTGAGGAGCGGCTGAGGGAGCTGGGTCTCTTTAGCTTGGAGCAGAGGAGACTGAGGGATGACCTTATTCATGTTTATAAATTTGTAAAGGGCAAGTGTCAGAAGGAAGGAGCCAGGCTCTTCTCAGTGACAGCCAATGACAGGACAAGGGGCAATGGGAGCAAGCTGGAGCATGGGAGGTTCAAACTGAACATAAGGAAAAACATTTTCACTGTGAGGGTGCCAGAGCACTGGCCCAGGCTGCCCAGAGAGGTTGTGGAGTCTCCTTCTCTGGAGACCTTCAAACCCTGGACGTGTTCCTGTGTGACCTGGTCTGGGTGGTCCTGCTCTGGCAGGGGCATTGGACTGGATGAACTTTAGAGGTCCCTTCCAGCTCCTAATATTCTGTGATTCTGTGATGTTACAGCGTGGTTCTACACATGAGCACTTCCTCTGTGGGGTTAACTGGAACTTACTGGATGGTCAGCTCAGCTCTTTGAAGTGCTGTGACTCTGGGTCATGTTAACCTAAAGTTGAGATCACCTAAAGCAGACACTTGAATCTTTCTTCTCGGGTGGGATTGTGATGGTCACCGCAGAAAGGCTGTAGAAATGGGCAGCTGTGCTGTGCTTTTTCTGTTCCTTAAGTGCTTATTCCTCTACCTATGAGGAATTGCAAGGAAAATGTTTTTTAAATCTGCTGTGTTCCCTTACCTTTGCAGTTTGTGTTATTACAGGAGGAAGTTAGACACCACAGAACTATCTTCTCTTAAAATAAAATTGTGTTCATGGATGCTCTGTTGAAGATAACATCCAAGCAGCGATCAGGGCTGGGTCTTGCATTAGCACTTGGTGACAAAGCAGGAATAGCCATATGTCTTCCTGGGATCACCCTTTGCTGGCTTGTCTGGGCTGCCATGGTCCAGCTGTTTTAAATGAGGCACTGCATAAAGACATTAGAGTATCCTAAAGTGAAACATCTTCTACCTGTGTGTTCCTGACTCACAAGAAGTGCTGATTCAGCACACGTTGTTTTCATCTCTTCCAGCTACGGCTGCACCAGCTCCAGTCCCCAGCCTGGGGCTGCAGGAGGGGATGAAAATAAAAGACTCCCAAAGCGCTTGTGTGTTACAGGCTTGTGCAGACATCAGCTGCGTGCATGGCAGGAACTGGAAATGAGCACAGCTGCTTCCAGCGGTCATTCCCTCTTTCTTGTTTTGTCTTCTTTTCCTGGCAGTGGTGTGAGTTTGGTCACCTGAGGAGCAGAAGTGCTGAAAGTTCTGGGGTGAAGCTGTTGCTGCCGAATGAGGCCGTGTCGCTAAAGCAGCGTTTCTGACTCTGTTCTCTCTGTGTTGCCTCTCCAACCTTACTTTGGCCTCATTACCAAGATTACTTCTGCTCTTGCAGATAGTTTGCTTACGCTAAAGGTGTAAGAGGAAGACGTCTGTATCCTTACTTGATAGGTTACCTTGTTTCCATGTGCTTACATGCAGTTGAGCTTTAAGCAGAATTTTAAAAAGCAATGTGAGCTCTTCTGGTTGCACCTCAGTAATGTTCAAAATAAGATCAATTATATTCTTTATAACATGTGCTTTTCCCTCCTTGTTGCAGCAGAGGAAGTTTGCTTAACTCTTTTTATGGTCACAGTCCAGTGTAGGACTCCAGCGTGTGTCCAGTGCTCTGTGACTGTTACTCTTCGATTTAACTAGAACTGGTGACCTATCTGGAGCTGTGTCTGTGTGTGAATACTTGCCTTGTTATCTTATTTTTTATCATTGAGCCTGTCTCTGGTGATTAAATGACACGAATGCTCCCAGCAGGCTTCTGCTAGGGAAGAATGATCCAAGTTTGTTAGGTTTGCTTAAAGGAAATTTTTGCTAGATTTTTGTCTTTTAAGATTTCGGCTTTGGAAGAGGAAGTTTAAAACTGGGTTTAGCTTCAGTCATATGAAAACCAAGTCCAAACAGTTCATCTGCGCTAAAGATCTGGAGAAGCCAAGTGTTTCCCCTGAGTAACAATCAATTCCCTGTACTTCTTGTGCAGTTTACCCAGATGGAAGAGTTTGTATCTCTATTCTCCATGCTCCTGGGGATGATCCCATGGGATACGAGAGCAGCGCTGAGCGGTGGAGTCCCGTGCAGAGTGTGGAAAAGATCCTCTTGTCGGTTGTGAGCATGCTGGCAGGTAAGGACTGCTGTGTTCTTAGCAGGTACTGAGTTAACTGGAGCTGCATCTTGCTATTTGATTTGTTAAGAGAGTAAAAGACATTTAAAGCTGCCCAGCAGCAACCACAGTTCTTAAAGCCCTAGTATTTATTTATTAATAAACCACTTCTCTGAAAGTAGTTGAAAAAACCAAGACTGAATTAGTAAACGAGTGTTTCCAGCTTTCCTTCCTTCCAGGTCAGCAGTGATGGAGCAGATGGGCATGGTCAGGTGGGTCCAGAGGCTCAGCTGATTCCCTGCTCCTGCACAAATCCTGTGCTCCGTCTTTGTGTTTGAGCTGTTTTATTTCTGTTCAGCGGTTGCAGGTCTTAAAGCTATCGATTACCTGTGTTGGATTTGGCTATAGCAGCTGAATCAGTACAAAAAACTGGAGTGTGTGGCCTCTGTGGTTCACAAGCCAGCACCCTCTGTGTCTGTTATTTCCCAGCCTGGGAACGTCCCCCGTTCTGCCATCTCTGGTTCAGAGGAAGGCTTCTTGAGAAGAGGAATGGGCTGAAAAGCTTTTTGTGCAGCCTTTTAAATGGCTTTCCTTAAATCCAGCAAGGACTGGGGACCAGCTCTGTTGTGCCCAGCTCCCTGAAGGATGGATCCTTTTCCACATAGTGGACAGAGCCACTGAGCTGCCTGATAAGAGCAGAGCCATATCCCTTAGAATTGGTTTTACATGATAAAAGTTTAGACAGTTTAGAGGATTTTGAAGCAGCAAAGCTGATTGGAGAGCAAGCAACAGATCCCTCCTTGGGACCATTTTAGCTTCAGGACAGTAACCTACCGCTGGGAGGCTGAGCAGACAAACAGTACCTGGAGCTTCCTGTGGCCTCCAAGAACTTGGTTTGTGGTGCAGCCTTTCCTGGACTGGTTAGTGTGGGAGCCACCTGGTCTTGCTGGTTCTCTGCTTGTGCAAACTTTTCCCATGACTTTTGGAGGACTTAGTTGGAAACATCAATGGTCAGCTTCTTTCAGTCTGCTGGCAAGCTCTTGACTCTGGATCTGCGCGTAGCGCAAGCCCAAGTTTACCAGACTGGGTGACCTGCACATCTTCTGGCCTTTTATGTCTGCCATGAACTGGGCTGGGGTGGATTTGGACGAGTGTGTGAAGCAAAATGGGTGCAGTACGTTTTGTCTTTGTGACTTGTGTAGTCTTGTGACTGTTGTTCTGCTGTATGCTGACCACGAACCTGATAGATCCCGTGTTTCAGCTTACCTCTACAAAATGAAGCGTTGGAGCCACAGGGGCTTAGTGTACTTTATAAAGCGCTCTGAAATCCCTCAGATGAAAGATGTTGCAGAAATGAAAGCATTCTATGGGTTTTCTGGGTTTGTTTTGTTGTTTTTTAATAGAACAAGCCATCCCAAAGAGTGACAGAGCCTGTTTGGGTGGCCTGGTCGGGAGGGCTTTGTGTCTGTGAAGCCACAGAACCAGAAAAAAATCATTTTACAGGGAGCAGCGTGCAGTTTTACAGACCCTTGACGGTGCTGGTGGTGCCGCATTGTGTTGCTCCATGTTCATGCTGGGGCTCAGCTGCTGAGAGCATGAACGAAAGAAAGTCTTGCTCCTCTGCCACTTATTTCTTACCTAAACTTGACCTTGCTGTGGTACTTTTATGATCAGTTAAATCAGAACCATTTGAGAATCCAGCAGCTGCCCCTGGATTCTTTTGTTTTAGTGGCGTTTCTGCAGTCCCAAGCAGGAGAAGTGTGGCAAAGCCATGGGGAAGCGGCAGTACAGAGGCAATATTGCAAAAGTGAGAGGGTCTCACCTGCCTGCCCACCTCCCTTTTCTGTCTTTCTCTTTTTCAGAGCCAAATGATGAAAGTGGAGCCAATGTCGACGCCTCCAAGATGTGGCGGGAAGACAGGGAACAATTTAACAAAATTGCCAAGCAGATTGTGCAGAAGTCACTTGGACTTTAAGCTGACAAAAAGACTCAAGTGTTTTGTATCTCTCTCCACCTGAAAACGAGCAGTGCTCAGTGCTGGTACCAAAAAAGGAAAACTTTGCAAAACTATTGGCCTAGTTCTTCTTATCAGTCGTTATTTATTTACCATCTCTTTTCTTCTTCCACTGCTCCAGAGAAACCTCTAGTTCACTCACTAAATTGTATGAAAAAGGGATTTAATACTGGGGAAAAATACGGAGACAATGCTGTTTCAACGGCTGCTTGTTGCTACCTCACTTCATGGTATGGAAAGCTTGGAGACTTTGCAATCTGCAGCCTTTGCCAATCTGCTGCTCGAGAGCAGAGCTGGTTTGGATCGTCTGCTGGAAGAATTAGTTGTATGTTTTTATAGGTAGTGTTGCATCTGGAGCACCAGTAGACAGGAGATAATCTTATCAATTTTATGATACTCGCTAAGTAAGGACAGAGCCACTGAGCTGCATTTGCATTTGAGGACAGCATTTGCAGTCAGAACTGATTTGAAGCATGTAGTTACCAAGAGAGGCTATAAAATAGGGTTATAGTCAGGATGCTTTAGCAAAGAAAGTAATTGTGCAGCACATAACTTCACAAGAAGATCTACGGGGGTGTTATCAGTGAGTGGCTGGGGGTCTAGGATGGGCTGATGTCCCCACCTAACACTGTGAGTTTGTCCTGAGCTCTTGAGTCAGTGTTTGCTTGGAAGAATCCCAAGAGCTGCTTTATTACTCCTTAAAGACACTGAAGGTGACCTTTGCATTCAATCAGAGGCGCAAGATGTAAGGACTGGATCCTGAAATGCTTTGGTTGGGTTCACCGTGGGCGAGGTAGGTCATCGGCAACCTGAAAACCCAGTGAGAACGTGTCTGTTCCCCTGGGCTTGTGAAATGTCTCTGTGGCAACATCAGCTCCTCTTCCATTGACTTTTGGGCGTGAGAGGTTTGGGCACTGCTGGCCTTTGCCGTGACACCCCAGGTTGCCCATTTTTCAGGTGAATGAGCAAAGGTGAATGTGTTGAATTTTGTGAAATGAACTTTAACACTTCTTTATGCTCTTGTGTATTTAAATACGAGGAGGAGAAGACACCGACTGTGTTTTCTAGAGGATGGTGTGCGCATGTTGAGAAGTGCAGGGCAATGTAGCTGACGGCTGATGTGGAGGGTGCAGAAAATGCCAGCCACAGCCATTGGTTTTGTAAAACTGCTTAGGGGCCGCTGGTGACCTTTGCGCTTTGCAAGCGAATCTCTTGTGTAGGTCCAAATCTCCTCCAGTTTACTACAAGCAATAATGTGCCCATTGACAGCACATGGAATCAAATTTTGTTGGCAGCTTTAAATGGGCTAAATTTGAGAAGGGCTTTTAAAAATTTTTTATTGTTTATTTTTCTTGTGAAAAGCGTGCGACGTGGAAGGAGTCACATCTTGGAGAAGGCTTCACGGAGGTGGTTGTGTGCATGCGCATGTACAACTCGTCAGTATTTACGTCTTGCTGTCCGTGCTGCGTATTCACATGCTGCAGATCGCGGGATGCCATCGCTCTGCACCTCTGAAGAGATTGTATTGCTTGAACTTGCTGATTTTACCTCCTTGTAGAATTAATTCTTGTTTGGGTGTAAGGGTGGGAGGGGGTCCTGACATAGTCTGGGAGCAGAGATGATGAAATAGTGTTGTACCTAGCTAGTATTTCAAGGCATACAGGAAAATGTAGCACTTACATGTGAACTGAGAGCGCCTTTTGAACTGTAGTAGATGGAGCGTTGCTCCTGGGGGTCCTGTAGCCGCTTTTGGAAACAATGCTGGAGAGCTGCGAGCGCCATGTGGCAAACGATGGATTCGGCAGAGGTGGCAAACGTGGGCTCTTTCTAAGTGCGGAGCATTTGATTCATGTGTGCTCACTCAGTATCTTACCGTGGGATTTAGTCTGTATACTGAAAATAAAGTGATTCTATTTTCTCCTTTCAGAGCTGTTTGCAGATATATTGCACCGGGTGGTTTTTATGGGCAACCACCTGATCAAGAGAGTCCAATTCTGACTTGGTCCAAAGAAGTAGAAGGGTTTACTCGGACGCAGTTTAAACAGGGGATGCTTTAGAGGAGTGCAAGAGTTGACACAATTGCTTGGGGTTTATGGGGAAGTATTCTGTTTCTAGTGGTGCAACAACTTGGGAATTCGGAGAAAGCTGTGAAGATCTGGCAGCTGTGATGGAGTTACAGAGGTCCTGTTATGATCCATGTGACTGACCTGAGTAGGTCTTGTTATAGCAACAGGTGAATTGTGAGTCCAAAATCTGGTATTGGCTCTTGGATTTGAGAAGAACGACTAGGTGTCCAGTTCTACTGAGAATTTCCATAATCCCCAAATCTGTTCCTTAGCAAGAAAATAATTTCTTTTTGAGTTCCTGGCATGCAATGGGCTTTCGAATTTGGGTGTTTGAAGCCACCCAGTGACCATATACCCCAGGCAGTCTTGCAGGTGACAGAAGGTAGGCAGAGAGCCGCCTCGGAGGGCTACATCTCGCCTGGTTGATGTTGGCTCATCTCTGGGGCTGTGGTCTGTGGAAAGCAGGTGGTGTTTTACACCTGGGGAACACCTGAGAGTTAAAGCTCAGAAAGTGTTGATTGCGGGGCAGACTTCCCTGAGAGGCTTAATCCTCCCCTGTTGTGAAAGGATGCTCGGCTGGCAGCGTGTGTCATACTAGCCAGTGGCAATGTTTTTCTGAGCAGTTGCCTTTTTCCAGTCTGAAACAATTACCATAAAACACATTCCTTAGGGAGCGTTGGAGCTCTACAGGTGTTACGTGTGCAGGTAAAGTATTAAAGATTTTTTTAAAATCAACTCTTTCTCTGGATTATATTTGCTTTAGGCTTTTATATTAAAGAAAAAACCAAAACCCTTCAACAGAGCTGTAAAAATGCAAGCAATGTCCTCTTTAAAGCCTTTGTAAATACATATGTACACACACACACACACGCGTTTTCTTATTTTTTCTTGTTGGCAGCGGGGGCTGTGTCAGAACACACACAGCGGGATGGGAGACATTCACTAATTGTGTTTTGTGCGCCTGGGTGCATGCAAGCGGCTCTTTGAAAGCGCGAGCTGCCGGGCGAGAGGCGTTGGAGCCACATGAAACGGCTGCAGCTTCGGGGCAGAGCCAGCCCCAGGCTGCTTTCCAGCTTTTTTTTTAATGTTTGTTTTTTTTTTTTTTCAGCTTGAGCTCTATCGTGACTGGAAGGTGGTGCTCAGCTTTTGGGGTGACATGGCAAAAGCTCCACAGCTCTGGGAGATCCTTGCTCTCCTCGATGAGAATGCTGTGTATCAGAATCCAAATGTGCCGTGAGATGAGGGCTGTGCGTGCTGGCTCAGCAGCCGTGACCTGGGATGTGGAGATGTCCCTGTGCTGCCTGGGCAGAGGCAGCACTGGTTACCTGCCCGGTGCTCCTCCTCTACCAAATTTCCCTGATTTGGTGGATGAAGATCACTGCCTTTCAGCAATCTCAGGGGCTGGAAGGAGTGTGAGGCGAGCGTGGGATGGTTGAGGTGCACAGGGAAGGTGCAGGGAGTTGGAGAACTCCTTTGGCCTCTGACCAGCAAGGTGGCCAAGGCCCTGCACCAGCCCCAGTGAGGGCTCTGGTGTCACCTCTCGTGCAGCCAGGTCCCACCCATGTCACGGGCACCAAGAACACGTCAGGGGTCAAGCAGGCAGCTGTGGCCATGCAAAGCTCCCTGGTCCTGCAGGGATGAAACCCAGCTTGGTGGTCCTGCATCATGTGTCAGGACCTCTACTGCTCCCTGAAAGAAGGAGGTAGTGAGGGGTGATCGGTCTCTCCTCCCTGGACACGAGTGATGGGATGAGAGGAAATGGCCTCAAGTTGTGCCAGGAGAGGGTTAGGTTGGATATTGGGAGAAATTTCACTGAAAGAGTGGTCAAGCACTGGAAGGGGCTGCCCAGGGAGGTGGTGGAGTCACCATCCCTGGAGGTGCTAAAAAAACATGTGGATGTGACACTTGGGGACATGGTTTAGTGGGCATGGTGGGGCTGGGTTGACGGTTGGACTTGATGACCTTAGAGGGCTTTTCCAACCTTAACAATTCGATGATTCTGTGTGCTGAGCGTGGTCGCTGGTTGGGAGCCCAGTGCCTTCCCTGTGACTCCTGGTGATCTCCCAGCCCTGCTCTTTGCAGCCTGGTCCTGCCTTGGCTGCCAGCCCCTCACCCAGGATGGGCGGGCTGTAAGAGCCAGAGCAGGACCAGCCAGGTGGCTTTTGAAAGCGGCTTGCACCCCCCCCAAGATGCGCCTTAGCAGCAGTTAAGATTATGGGGTGTGTTAATATATAATTAATGGTAACGATGCAGACGGGGGGTTATTACAGGGTAGGTGCCGGTGTTAACAACATGTGCGTGAGCTCTTGGGGAGCGATGTCCCAGCGGGTCTGGTCACGTCCTTCCTGAAGGGCGTGGGGGGCCATGAGCCAAGTCTTGGGCTGAGTCCCCTTCCCCTGTGCATGGGGCACCAGCTGCCCACGGGGGGGGACACTTGGCTGTGTTTAACCGGGGGGTGCGGACAGGAGCCAGGAGCGTGGCTCTGTCCTGCTGTCACAGCAGTCACCCTGGCCGGAGGGGCTGCGGGGGGTGGCTGGGAGGGTGGGCGCCCTTGGGTTGCGGAGACAAAGCGAATGCCCCCCCCCTCCCCCAATGCCACACTGGCTGGGGGCTGTGGGGTGATGTGAGAGGCGGGTTCAAAGTGGCAGAGATGCAGGATGGAACATGTCGGGGGGGTGGGGGGCACCCACATGTTCGGATGCTGGGCCCAGCGTGGGGAGGCTCGCCGCCCACGGCTGCGTTGGAAGCTTTGCCCCAAAACAGTTTTTCCCACGTCAAAATGATTTGGCAAGTTGAGCCCAAATTGGAGCTGGCGTGGCGGTGTTAGGGGTATTGGGGTTTTTTTGCGGAGCCTGCCTGGGGTGGGTTTGTGGGAGCTCCTGTCCAGTGTGCTGCTTCACCAGGATCCCTGTCATCTTCTGCTGGTGTGGTCAACACCTCAATCCCTCTGAGCTTGGTCAACCTTTAGGTGCTAGGGGAACTTCACTTTGCGGGGCAGGTGTGTTTGAAGGGCAGGAGAGAGGCCCACATCTCCGAGCTGACTGTGAACTGCAGAGCTGATCCCCAGGGCTTTGTGCCTTGCACAGCTTTCCCTCACTATCC